TTTGAGGTAATTACAGATTCACTGGAGCTTGTAAAAAATAGTACAGGGATAATTATAGATTCGTAGGAAGTTGCAAAAATATTGCAGAGAGGTCCCACTTACTCTTCACCCAGTTTCCCCGAGAAGCTACATCTTACATAAGTATGGTACAGTAGCCAAACCAGGGAAGGGACATTTGTACAACATGTATCTGTATAGTTGTGTAACATTTTTTTCTATGTGTAGTTTTGCTAACCATCACCTCAGTCAAGATACAGAACTATTGCAATACCACAGAGATCTCTCTTCCTTGTGTTAGCTCTCTGTAGTCAACCAGTCCCACTCCTACCCGCTCCCTGCCATCCTTAACTCCTAGAACCACTAATCTGTTCTCCATCATTATAGTTTATTGTTGTATTAGATGTGCTAGCAATATAGCATAGTCTCAAAGGGGAAGTGCTTTCTGAAGCAGAAGCTACTGTCTTAAGAGGTTTTAAAGAACCTCCTTGTGTCTTCACATTTTCTAATTACAAATTGCTTTAAAATGGAGGGCTCCTGTGGAATTTTCATCCATTTGCTCCCAACTAATGTGACCATAGATTCATTCATCCCCACCTCCTTTCTGTCAGCTTTCAAGAGTTTTGTTAAAGGGACAAAGCATTTTTTCATTAAGCTAATGATGTTGAAATGTTCTAAGAATTGGATGAATTTTTTATTCAAATTTTTATCATTTTTTTATTTGAAGAGTCAGAAAAGCATTTAGAAGTTTTTAGTGTAAAAAAAAATAAAGCTGTAATTCACTGATACTTTTATCTGGGTTCCTTGTTTATCATAATTTATAATAATGATGAAGATAGGTTCAAAGGAGTTGATATGTATAAAGCACTTAGACTAGTGCCTGGCACACAGTAATCTCTGTGTTAGTGCTAACTCTTACTTTTACTGCTACTGTTAAGGTAACTGTTCTCAGGCTGAGAAGGCCTTTTTAAGCATAAAACCAGAAGATTAAATCACACAAAGAGGAAAGTAAAAGTATCGGCTACTTTGAACAGGAAAAACCAGGCCCCCATATGCACGGAAGGAAGATCGGGAAGGTGTGTTTTCATAGATTTTCTCTCCGTGGTGGGTTTATAGTTGATTTATGGCCCCACCCTCCCTATTCTCTCCTTTTAACAAACATAACTGCTCTTACAGTGGGGGAAATTAAAGCAATGATACATGGAAAGGGAATAAATACACTCAGATTCAGTAAGACTTTTAGGAAAGTGACACTCGGTAATAGTAGTATAAATGACCCTGTATTTCAGGAGGGCAATTTGACAGGTATCAAAGCCTTGAAAAGTTTCATCCTCTTGACCCAGTGATTTTACTTCTAGGACTGTATTTTTAGGAAATGATCAGAAATGTCAGAAGAGGTGCAAGGATATTCATTAGAGTGTAGCCTTCTAACGGGAAAGTGAAATTCACTTTATGTGTAAAGTTCATTATTGAGTTTGAACTCCATCAAATGTCTACATTGAGTAGTTTGATAAGTATAATATCAGTATGATACAGACACTTTGATCATGGCATTAATATAAATTTGGAAATAATATTAATTGGTTAAAAACAATTTCAATATTTATAGATTTAATCCTAGGAATTTGTCCTAAAATATGCCATGTTTTATAGTTATATTAGTATATATTAATAGTATTTATATTTTTAGAACAAAAATATTTTCTAGCAGTTGGATGTTTTTAATATAGTTATGTCATTTTTACATTCATGTAATGTCTATCACTATTTTCTGTCTATATAGGGAGGTAATGTGAAATGAACACATAGGCTCAGTAACTGTGGCATTGCTTCTGTTGTTTTATACTTTCCTTCAGTAACTTCCAATCTGAAGGTTGTAATCTAGCTTTTGGTTTTAAAAAAGTTAGTAATTGAGGGCACCTGGGTGGCTCAGTCGTTAAGCGTCTGCCTTCGGCTCAGGTCATGATCTCAGGGTCCTGGGATCGAGTCCCGCATCGGGCTCCCTGCTCAGCGGGAAGCCTGCTTCTCCCTCTCCCACTCCCCCTGCTTGTGTTCCTGCTCTCGCTGTGTCTCTCTCTGTCAAATAAATAAATAAAATCTTAAAAAAAAAAAAGTTAGTAATTGATATCTTCAGAGCATTTGCTGCTTATCCACTGTGTTGAAGCAGTAATTGCTGTTTCCTTCCTCAGTATTCTCCACCTCAATTACTCAGGCCAGAAGAGGGAATCTGAGTACCTCTGGATACCTCATTCTTAGCTTACACTTTGTGGATCCAGTTTTTGACCAAGTCCTGCCTGCCTCCAAAATACCGTGAATCTACCACTTTTTTCAGTATTCACTGACATCACCCCAGTCAAGGGAACAGTACCTGTGTTTTTGGAGTATTGTATCATCATAACTGTTTCCTCCGTTTTCCCCTTAGTCCGTTTCTTTTTGTTTCTGTTTTTAAATTTTATGGAAGATAGGAATACATCACATTTAAGAAGTCACGTATTTTCCCCAGCCCCGCCCTTGAGCCCCACACCCATCCAGTGTCTTAGCTATTCCTCTTTGGAGGAAGTTAAGTCCAGTTTTCAAATAATGCATCTAAATGCCTATCGTTTATAATTTTTAAAATTTTAGATATGATTTATTGATTCTCTGTACTGTAGAAGATGATTTCGCTCATATGCTCTTCCCCTGACATTTACACAATTCACTTCGCCTCTTTTTCGCATGTAGTTATGTCGTAATTTAACATGAATAAGTAATCATGGCTCAACTATTCTTTACAATCGAGCCATGATTACTTACTTAAATTTTTTTTCCTTGAGCTAATAACTTACTTAAGGTTTCTCTGTACTGGTCACTAATTTTTCTGCTAGTGGTGAATATAGTGAATGCCTTATCAGTGTGTGTGTTCAAACTCTTAGATATTGCTTCATCTTTGAGAGGCACCCCTCTTGCAACTTCTGTCCTCTTGCTAGTTAATATCTGAACTATTGTTCTTAAGCTCTGCTCACAGTTGGGTCCCCAGGATGTCCTTTTACTGTTAATCTGGGTATTCATAGTATTTTCTTTCTATGGTCGGTTACTCAGTTTCCTGGATCCCATGTCTTCCTTTTTCTTAGTTTGCTGGTTTGTTTTGAGGAACCACATATTCTGCTGGCTCTCTGAGAATAGGTGCATAGAAGACAAATTCTCTGAGACTTTCGTGTCTGAAAATCTCTGCAATATATTTTCATACTTAATTCATATATTTGTTGGACACAGAATTCTAGGATTTTGAAGACATTATTTCAGTTGTCTTTGACTTTCAGTGTTACTCTTGAGGTATCAGTGCCTTTGATCCCTCCCTTTTTTCTGCCTGTGATCTATTTTTGTTTTTGAATCTTACAGATTTTTTTTTTTAAAGACTTTATTTATTTGACAGAGAGAGACACAGTGAGAGAGGGAACACAAGCAGGGGGAGTGGGAGAGGGAGAAGCAGGCTTCCCGTGGAGCAGGGAGCCTGATGCAGGGCTCGATCCCAGGACCCTGGGATCAGACCTGAGCCGAAGGCAGACGCTTAACGACTGAGCCACCCAGGCGCCCCTCAATCTTACAGGTTTATAATCTCTTAGTCTCTAATGCTCTAAACTTTCTGATGCTAGGCCTTGGTTTTGAGGGGTTTTTTAATTTACTCCATTATAAAGGGCATGAGACAGGTCTTTTCTTGTCCTTAAAGTTATAAGGGCATTAAAAAAATTTTTTTTGAAAAGTTATTTTTCTCAGTTCTCCCTTAAAATTCTTGTTATTATGCAGACATTGGTGAGTCTAATGGACTCTAATTAACATAATATTTTGACTCCTATTTTGAGTTTATTTTTTAAAAGATTTTATCACCTTCATCTCACAACTCTTACATTGGTTTTTTTAAATCTCTCTTACTGTGTTTTCCTTTCCAAAAGCTCTGTTTTGTTCTCTAAACATATCCTCCTGTTTTTGCCTAATGGGAGCAACATCCTCATCTATCTGAGAGTAATAATTGTATGAGTTTTTCTTTTCTCTGTTTGTTTGTTTGCTTCTTGCCCTAACTCAATTTCCTCAGATAGATTCTGTCTCTTTCTGGTGGTGGTTATTGCATTACAGCAGGGTTCTTAACCAGTTTTGAACCTTGGACCCCTTTGGCAGCTGAACAAAGCCTATGGAGCTGAACCCCTTTAAAATCAAAGGAAATCAATTCTGTTAAAATACACTTACCAACATATTTTTATAACTGTCACATAGCAATATATATGTGCTTCTTTATTAACACATTAAGACCCAGAGATGATGAGCTCATAATTTCAAACTAGTGATGAGTATAATGATATTTTTGGGCTATCTGTACCAACTGTAATGTGATATGAAAATTTTTTATCAGTGACAAAGTCACATGTATTGCTAACTCTTCTGTAATCTGTACTTTACATTTATAATTAAAAGGAATGTCATATCAGTAGGAGGTTAGTATAAAATAGAAATTTAATTTTTTGACATCCAAGTTTATTAAGCCCTTTGAATTCTATTGACAGACCTTGCGGGGTATCAAGAACTCTTTTATTAGAAGTTTCATCACATACCTGGGGTGGTTGGCTGTCAGATCAAAGAGTGAGGTACTGGGAAGCTAATTGGAAGCTCTGAGTAACTGAATGGGGCTTGACAACTACTAGGCTTCACTATACATGTAGAAAGCTCAACTTTCATTATCTGTGGGTCCTTCCTCTTGGGATTCAAATCTCTTCAAAGAAGAATCCACCAATCTCCTTGTCGAGTGTAAGTCTAGTTATCTATATTCTCAGAGACAAGTAGTTTTCCCTCTTATATTCTGCTAGTAGAATTTGTTTTTGTGATTTAACTAAACGGTTACAGTACTAGATATGTTCATGTTAAATAAAATGGCTCTAGGAAAGGACACAATTGTCTTTTATGTTTTAAAACCCTTACTATAACAAGAAAACTGGGCTATTTCATCAAATTTATTTTTACTCATTTTTTTTCAGGAGCTTTCAAGTTGTGGATGGAATAAAAAAGAAAAATATAGTTCTGCACCAAATGCCGTTGCCTTCACAAGAAGATTTAATCATGTGAGTTGCTTATAAAATCTTGATAATTTAGTTTCTGAAATTCAGTTCCTTAATGTATTTTCGTTAAGAAGTAGTTTAACTTTTCACATCAATGTTGGAATATTTTTTAGCCACGGTCTCTTCAAACATTGTCTCTCTGCATAATCTCTGTTTTTTTCCTTCTGTAATTTCTCTTGGAAATTTGGTGGGGCTTGATACTCTTTTCTACTTGTATGTTAACCTTTCATATTTTATATCTATTTCCTTATGCTCCATTCTACATGGTTTCCTCAGATCTATATTTCAGTTCACTAATTCTCTTATAGATGGGTCACATCTGTTTCAAATCTGTGTGCTTTTACACTAGTGTCATTTTTAATATTTCTTAAATCATTTTCAACATTTTATTTTCTAATTTCTATATTATCCAAAGACCTTGGAGTACTAATTCTGTGTTATTTCTGCTGATCCTTACACAAAATGGTTTGTTTCTTAAGTATTTTGTAATTTTAGATCGTGAGCTCATATTCATTTAAGCTTTATATGTGCTTTATCTGTGGGACTTCTGCTGCTTCCTAGGTTGAGGGTATATCTCTTCTGAAATGCTTTTGTTTGCTTTTGCTGGTACCAAGGACTGTAATGACTTAGTTCAGTTTTTCATAAGTTTTGGTTAGGAACATCCATACTTTGCTATAGTGAAAATTTAAACTCAGAATCCACTTAAGGGCTCATTACAAATTCTTATGAAAAACTTATTTTTCTCCATCTCCTATATTTATTTGTCTTCCCCTGCCAGTAAGTGAATTGTTTTAGCCTCCATTTTCACCAAGATTATAGCACTTTGATGATCCCTTAGATAGACATAGTGGTGGTAAAGGAGAGATGGGTGACTTGTATTATATCTGGGAGGAGTATTAAATCCTGAGCCCCTACATCACTGAGAGAAAATCCTCCATGGGCAGCTGCAGTGCCCTTTCTTTTAATCACTGCTTTGCCTTCTGTTTCCTCCTCCTCTTCTTTTTTTTTTTTCCCTGCCTCTAGGGGAAATCCTTTCTTTCAAGTTAGCCACATGTTTTTTTAAAAAAGAGTTTGTTGTCTTTAACCCAACATTACTAGGCGTTTATAGCAAACAGTTTCTCAGGTTATTTGGTTCACTGTATTCCCCAAAATGAAGTAGATCAAAGTTTTTAAAAATAAGATTAGGGCGCCTGAGTGGCTCAGTTGGTTAAGCGACTGCCTTCGGCTCAGGTCATGATCCTGGAGTCCCGGGATCGAGTCCCGCATCGGACTCCCTGCTCAGCAGGGAGTCTGCTTCTCCCTCGGGCCCTCCCCCCTCTCATGCTCTCTCTCTATCTCATTCTCTCTCTCGAATAAATAAATAAAATCTTTAAAAAAAAATAAAAATAAAAGTAAGATTAAACCATTAAAATAGGGATATAGAGCAAGCATGTCTTTCACTGAATTTTATATTCAAGTTATATAGTTAAATATTCAAAATTTTTATGAGTTGGTCAGAATTTTTCATCACAGTAAAATTTTTTTACCATACAAAAACATTGTTATAATATTCACAAATTTGACTTTAGATTTTAAGCATATTATTCTTAAATAAGCCAAAAAGTTGTCAGAGTCAAATATGCCACATTGTACCAAAAGCTTTTATCCTTATTCCAGCATATTATTCTTAAATAAGCCAAAAAGTTGTCAGAGTCAAATATGCCACATTGTACCAAAAGCTTTTATCCTTATGCCAGATTACAATTGATCCTATAATCTTACTGAGTTGCTCCATTACTCTATTAAATAATTTCTCCTAGTAGGGTCATAGGAGATTTGAAATAGCAGATTATGAAAGAAGTTAGAGTCTATTAGAAGAAATCTGTCTGCACCATTATTTTTTTTTTTTTAAGATTTTATTTATTTGAGAGAGAGAGCAGGTACGAGTGGGCAGGAGGGAGGGATAGAGGAAGAGGGAGAAGCAGACCCCTCGCTGATCAGGGAGCCTGATGCGGGCTTGATGCGCATCTCGATCCCAGGACCCCGGGACCATGACCTGAGCCGAAGGCAGGTGATTGACTGAGCCACCCAGGCGCCCCTTGAAATGCTTTTATAAAGAGACATTTTCCCTCATCTGGTATTTGCTTGCCCAGAGGCTCATTTCCTATAAGCAAGGAAGGGTGAATGTTTGATCCTTCCCTTTATTTAATAATTTTGAAGATAATGAATTGGTGTTCCTCTAATAGTGACCAAACAGTATTTATTTATTTATTTATTTATTTATTTATTTATTTATTTGAGAGCGAGAATGAGATAGAGCATGAGAGGGGGGAGGGTCAGAGGGAGAAGCAGACTCCCTGCTCAGCAGGGAGCCCAATGTGGGACTCTATCCCGGGACTCCAGCCAGGATCATGACCTGAGCCAAAGGCAGTCGCTTAACCAACTGAGCCACCCAGGCACCCAGTTTTTTTATTTTTTAATACCATTATGAACTCATAAATTTAGATGTGTACGATGTGTTTCAACCCATTGTGGTTATTATCTTTATTGAGACAAATATTGCTCCATCTTTGGCCAGTGGAAGTCTATGCAAGTTGGCATTCATGTCCTTTGTCACGACCCTAGTAGTCTCAAATAGTTCCCTTGCCATCTGGTATACAAAGATGTTTCAGGTTCATTTGGTCCATTACCTGTCCCCCACCTGGAATCAACATTTCTTTAAGAAGTCCTGGTTTCTTACAGGGGGGGAGTGGACCTGAATGCTAGGAATGCTCATTGCTATTGGAATGACAATATCTATGCCTTTTTCAGCAGAGATAGCTAGGATATCTGTGTGTCATACACATACAACTATTTAAAGATAAAGTATCTCATGAATTCATATTGATACTTCTAATTCAAATTCAGGACCAGAGTTTTACTTCCAACTCTTCTGTATTACATCCATATGTTCTTTCTTCCACACTCAGAATTCTGGTTTTCACGGGACATAGGATATGATACAATACCCTATCATATACTCATTTGCTTTATCCTACATAACAAACAACAGACTCAGAATAATAACACTAATACCAATAATGTTGTTATAAACAGATGTTTTGCAGATGTTCTGTTTTTTATAATTGCACTATATATTGTCTGAGCGTATCAGCATTATATAATGTACTCTCTTTTTAACCCTCCTTAGAGTACCATCCTTATGTTGGTGTTTTTCTAGGCATTTTGGTTGCCTGAAGCTCGTTCTCTGTTACAGTACTCAGGAAGGGCTCATTAGAACAGTAATGCCTGAATTCTTGAATGCTGACAAATTTTCCTCTCCTCTGTATAAAATTTTCCTTCCGTGATACTATATTACTCCCATTTTTTTCCCTGACAGTGTTGCTGTTAAAAAGTCTGATGATAATTACATTTTATTTTCCTTAAAAATTACTTTATCTTTTTGTCTCAGTGGCCGACAGATTTTTTCCCCAGTAATTTTATTGAACTGTATCTTAGTTTTGGTCATTCTGGATCAGTATTCTCGGGTGTGGTTGGCTTTAGCTAGGACTGTCAACTGGGGAGCACCTACCCTTAGCCTTTCCACTATGGTGGCCTCAGGTAGTTGGACTTTTACGTGGTCGTTCAGGAATCTCAGACAGAACGTTCCAGCAATCAAGGCAGGGGCTGCGTGCTCTTTTATGACCTTGTCCTGGAAGTTAGTATCAATTTCGTTAATCTTCTGTTTATCAAAGCAGTCACAAACCTGTCCAGATGACTTTCAGTGAAAAGAATGACAAAAACTTTTGGGCCATGTTTTAAAATCTTGATGGTGTTTGTCTTAAAATTTGTCTCACATTAAATTTAATAAAGTCAGCGATCATGCAGTTTAGATTGAGTTCACAGGTGATATTGGCTATGGTTGTTGATCAAATATCTAAAGTATAGCTTTTGATATATTGTAGAAGTAAACTTTATCAGAATCAGGGATAATAATTGCCATTAGTAGCCCAGATACAGTAACGAATATGAAGATGGTTTTGTAAAATATATATATTTTATATTTACATATGTACATTTGTAAAATATATACGAAATATGTACATTTTGGCAGTTTATTGATGAAATGTTTCTCACTAAAACGGAGACGAAACGTGAGGCAGGGCGCTGTCTTCTGCACTGTCATTTCTTACTAATACACTGTTTTTAGATTTAGAAGTTTGGGCCAACTGATAGTGCTTTGATTTTCTTTTCATAGTAAATGAATTAAAAATAATGGTATGCTTTCATCAGAGGAGATAGAGCATTTTAGTAGTGTTATAGATAGGTCTAGTCTGCCTTCTGATGAATGATTTTTAATGTTTTTTAAAAGAAATTGTGGGGCGCCTGGGTGGCTCAGTCGTTAAGCGTCTGCCTTCGGCTCGGGTCATGATCCCAGGGTCCTGGGGTCGAGTCCCGCATCGGGCTCCCTGCTCGGCAGGAAGTCTGCTTCTCCCTCTCCCACTGCCCCTGCTTGTGTTCCCTCTCTCGCTATGTGTCTCTCTCTGTCAAATAAATAAAAAAATCTTTAAAAAAAAAAAAAAAGAAATTGTGAATATGGTTTATGAATTAGAGAATGCATTACATGATTTTTAAAATACAATCTTAGTTTAATTTTAGAATGACTTAGATACATTTTTCTTTATGATATTTCATTTTATTCATACCAAGAAACACTTGGGATTCTTGACACGATTATGCTTAGTGTCAATAAGTGGCAGTGTGGGATTACACAGCCACAGGGGAAGCATGCTCTAAGTAGCATATTTTATAATGTCTGCTCTTAAAGCATATCACGTTCTGCCACGGTGTTTCAGAACACAGCAAAATCACACGTATTGGTCCAGTGTTCTTGTTGTATCACTCTGGTTTTATTGCATTCTTCTGTTAGCTCTTTTCCTTCAAAAGTTCTGTTTGCTTTTACAAATCAAAAATCATAGTGATGTTTTTATGTGTGTACATCCACACGTGTCTGTATCTGTCTCTACGCACATACAGACCGTACATAATGAAGTGTATGCGGCATCCAAAGATTGGGTATATATCCAAGTGGGGGGTATGCTGGGAAAGAGAAAGTATGGTTTATTAACCAGCTATGGGTAGTTCATCAAGTAGTTGCTGTCATTAACTGGATCCTAGTGAGTGAAGAATCTTGCCATTCAACTATTTTTCATTTTTATTTGCAGGTAAGCTTTTGGGTTGTTAGAGAAATTCTTCACGCTCAGACATTAAAAATTAGAGCAGAAGTTTTGAGCCACTATATTAAAACCGCTAAGGTAAGAAAGACTTTTGTTTTTATTTTTTGAGAGTCCAACCATTCAGCACTGTTTGTGAGTCAATGTTTGCCTGTGACACCTTATTTACTATTTATTGACCCTGGAAAATAAGGCCTATTGATTAGTATGTCAGTTTTTTCAATTGGGTGCCCGTTTTCTTTGCCTTTTCTTTATTCCTCTTATCTTCTTCCCTTTTATATCTTTGCTCACTCTCTCAGAGTAGCTGTATTATACTATTTATTTGACTGGATAAGTAGGCAGAGATCAGATTAGGGTGAAGTATGACAGTTACAAAATATTGGACTCTTGTGCACGTAATTGGGAAAGCCTTACAGGATTAAGAAAATACATATCAGTTATTTGCTTTTGAAATATATCACTGCCAACCATGTGGAGAATGAGAAGACTTTATATATGAGAATAATATAAAGAGGATATTAACGAAATATGTTAATTGAGTAGTTGTTGTATGGCATGGATAATAAATGCAGCAAGAGAAAAGGAACATGGATTTCAAGGATGGTCAGAATTTAGAGAGGAGGGCACTTCACAAGAGGATACCGATAATTTATTAAAAGTCATAACTGCAAATTTACGTTAAGTTCACTAAAAGGTGGTATAATTGCAGCCAAATTCTTCATTCTTGTAATAAAGACATAACTTCCCTCACATCCGAATGAAAGTGGATTAAAATAAGAATACCTTTTTTACAGTTTTAAATGATTGTAATTATTGTAAAATTGTGATTGCTGTGAGTTGTAACATATTTTCCTTGAGCACCTGGGAACAGTTGTATTCTAGCATTCTGTGGCACTAGGTGGCAGAACTAGCTTTGTAAATACGGTATTTTGTGGCAGTGTCATAAAACTTTTAAAACGTTCTCTGTGATATGTTGGATAAATATTGGGTTTTGCTAACAAATTCATGTCTTGTCTTTTCTCCATAGAGTCTGAATTTGTTTTATTGTTTTCTGGTATTTTTGTGCTTTGCACATTCCATTCAAAACCAAATTCTTGGGGTGCCTGGGTGGCTCAGTCGTTGAGCATCTGCCTTTGGCTCAGGTCGTAATCCCAGGGTCCTGGGATCGAGCCCCACATCAGGCTCCCTGCTCAGAGGGAAGCCTGCTTCTCCCTCTCCCACTCCCCCTGCTTGTGTTCCCTCTCTCGCCGTGTCTCTCTGTCAAATAAATAAAAAAATAATCTTGAAAAAAGAAACCAAATTCTGCCTATCAGGCTTGCTGTTATCCTCCTCATCAAGTAATCATTTAATTCCAGTTCAGACTCTTTAAGTTATTTTTGACAGTGGTTGCTTTCGTCCCAAGCACTAAGTTCATAACCTTTTTTGTTGTGTACCATCTCTTAAATCCCTCTATTCTGCCTCTCTGCCTTCTGTATTCAGTCTGTATAAAACGGGCAGGTCTTTTTCTTCTTTTAGTAGATTGTATCAGTTAGGATTCTCTAGAGTGAGAGGATAAATACACATATATAAAATATATAAAGAAAATTTGAGGAATTGGCTCCGGTAGTTGGGGGAAGGGGCTGGCAAGTGTGAAACCGATTGTAGGGCAGGTGGACAATCTAGAAACTCGGGCTGGAATTGCAGGTGCAGTCTTGAGGTGGAATTTCTTCTCTCAGGTTTTTTGGTTTTTTTTTTAAGATTTGTATTTATTTATTTGAGACACAGCATGAGAGTGGGGAGGGTCAGAGGGAGAAGCCGACTCCCCGCTGAGCAGGGAGCCCGATGTGGAACTCGATCATGGGCCTCCAGGATCATGACCTGAGCTGAAGGCAGTCGCTTAACGAGCTGAGCCACCCAGGCGCCCCTCTTCTCTCAGTTTTTGTCTCTTAAGCCATTTTAGCTGATTAGATGCAGCCTACCATATTATCAAGTGTAATCTCTTTTAATTAAAATCAGCTGATTATAGATGTAAACCATATCTACAAAATTGCTCCACAGCAACACCTAGATTAATGTTTGATTAAATAACTGGGTACCATAGTCTAATCAAGTTTGATACATAATACGGATCACAGAGACACAAAAAAAATTTATAAAGTAGATTTAAGGTATCGAAAGGATGATAAAGTGGATTTTCATGTACCCACTGCCCTCTTTGAATTCCCATAGGGCTCCTCTTATGCGATCCCCTACCCTCCCACTGCAAAAGGAACCATTGCCCAGAATTTTGTTTGCTTTTCTTATATAGTTTTATATATGTGTGTGTGTTCCTGAATCATATATTGTTGTATATGTTTTCCAGTTTTGTTTAAATTATTTCCTAATTACTTTTATATTTTTAAAACTTGGGTTTTTTTTTTTTACTCAGCACTGTTACTGAATGGTTTTGGGGTATATCTCTGTTGTAGAGTGCTCTGTTGTTTTCATATACCACAAATTCTTCAATATACTCTAGCTTGGATAGTTTTCAAATTTTTGTTGTTACAAACACTACTGCTTTGTAGGAGTCTCTAGTGCTCATGTGGGGGTTGAAGCACTAAAATATAGAGAGAACAGGTAAATTACCTTTAAAGAAATGACAATTAGATAACTTTCATTGAATGTGATGAGAATGAACATTTTTTTCTGTGTTGGCTATTTAGGTTTTCTCTCCTGAAATGTCTGTTCAGGATCTTTGAACAATTTTCTATTATGGTGTTGGTCTTTTATTGATTTTTGTAAGTTTTTTATTTAACTCTAGATGCTAGTTCTCTTTTACGTGTTTTCATATGCATCATTTTATTTTTGACTTGTCTTATCACTTTTCATGTTATGTTTTGATATAGATATTCTTAACTTTAGTAGTCAAACTTACTGATCTTTAATTAATTTTGTCTTATTTAAACATACCTAATTTAAGAAAGTTTTATAGCTTTGGTTTTTGTACTTGAGTATTTAATCCATGTGGAATAAATTTTTATGTATGTATGGATTATGGATTACTATTCATATTTTTCATATGAATAATAATTGTGGCACCATTTTTTAGTTGACGTAGTGATTCAGTGTTTTTATACATTATGAAATTATCTCGATAAGTCCAGTTACCAAACAAAATTATTATATTTTTTATGTCACATTCCCATGACTTACTTATTTTAGAACTGGAAGTTTGTACCTCTTAATTGCCTTTGCCTGTTTCATCTACTCCCCCAAACCCTTCCCTCTGATAACCAACAGTTTATTTTCTATAAATCTGTTTCTGTTTTGTTTGTTCATTTGTTTTTTAGATTCCACATATATGTGAAATCATACTGTATTTGTCTTTCTCTGTCTGATTTATTTCACTTAGTGTAATACCTTCTGTGTCCAACAAGGTTATCACAAATGGCAAGATTTCATTCTTTTTTTATGGCTGAGTAATACTGCATTGTATCATAGATACCACATCTTCTTTATCTGTTTATCAGTGGGCACTGGGTTGCTTCCATTGTAAATAATGGTTATTGTAAATAATGCTGCAATGAACATAGGGGTGCATATATCTCTTTGAATTGGTGTTTTCATCTTCTTTGGTTAAATACCCAAAATAGAATTGCTTGGATCATATGGTATTTTAAATTTTTGAAGAACCTCCACCGTGCTTTCCATAGTGGCTGCATCAATTTATAGTCCCACCAGCAGTGTGTTAGCAGTGTTTTCCCCACATACTTGCCAATGCTTATTATTTTTGGGGGGTTTTTTTGGGGTTTTGTTTTGTTTTGTTTTTTTTATAGTAGCCAATCTGACCAAATGAGAGGATCTCTCATTGTGGCCTTGATTTGCATTTCCCTAATGATTAGTGATGTTGAGGTCTGACACCGTTTTTAAAAATCCTTTGTTAAAGTGATCTTTATTTAACCTGGAAGTCTCTTTATGTCACCTTGTTCTTAAAAAATACTATTCCAGTGGTGCCTGGGTGGCTCAGTCGTTAAGCGTCTGCCTTCAGTTCAGGTCGTGATCTCAGGGTCCTGGATCAAGCCCCACGTCGGGCTCCCTGCTCAGCAGGAAGCCTGCTTCTCCCTCTCCCCCTTGCTCCTGCTCTCTCTTTCAAAAAAAGAAATAAAATCTTTAGGAAAAAAAAAATGCTATTCCAGACTTAGAGTTTTGTGTGTTTGTTTTTTGTTTTTTACTCTGCTTGGGATTCCTTGAGCTTCCTGACCCTAGGAATTAATGTCTTCTCAGTAATCTGGGAAAATAATCTGCCATTATGTCTCAGATATTGTTTCTACCATTTTTTTTTGTCTTCTGCAACTCCAACTAGATAAATGTTGGCCTTTTTTCTCTACGTTTCATGTCTCTTAACCTTTGTTTCACACTTTTTAAAAACTTTTATGTTGCATTCTAGATAATATCTTCATATTTAATCTTCATTTTATTTGAAGCCAATACCTGATATTGTTCTGCATTTGTGAATTCTTGGTTCCTTATGTTTTTTCATTTTCCATTTTTTTAAATTGAGTCTGTTGAGTTCATATTTCTTGAAACTCTGTGGGAATTATTTGAGACCTGAGCTAAGGTGATATATTGGTCAGAGTTCTCCAGAGAAACAGAACCCCTCCCCTTTCCTTAGCTCTAATGTTCAAAACAGGCATTTTTGCCTTGGAGTCTCTTGGTGGTGGGCAAGGACCATTCTAAATGATTTTCAGATAGGACCATTAAGATGTAAGCATCTGGTATTATGAGGAAATCTGGGAAATTAGCAATAAATACATAAATAAATAAATGTCAAGTAGATCTCTTGGCAAACTGATGGAACCTAATGTTAGGTAGGAGTCCTGCAAGGAGACTGTAAAAAGCTAGGTCTAGTATTGGGAAGCAAGTGGATGTCCCAACATGAGTGAAGAACAGAGAATCAGAGGATTCGGGCGGGAGGAAGGAAATTAAGGACTGTGGAAAGCAGGTTTGAACCCTAACCCTGGAATTATGAGGGTACTGAGTAGGAAACCAGATCAGCATCCTGGGCACAGACCCTTTCTTAACAGTGGGATCATAAGACAGAGGGTTAGTATTTCAGTATAAGGAAGGAGACTCCTTACTAGAAACTGAGGTGCATGATCATACTGGGTAAACTTGATACTGAGCCATGACTTTGGTTTTCTTAATATATTACTGAACTAGAGGTAGATTTGTTCCCAGAGCTTGGGGACAGTGCCAGGTTAGAACGTGGAAGTTCTATTGTGGGCTAAAATCAACTTATTGTAAACGTAATGGGTACTCTAAAGATGAATCTCACTGATGAGGGTAGAAGTACTGGAACACTACCAATTGCCTAGATTTTACTTATTAATCGAAAGTTTTCTTGTATTTATTCTCATTATTTTTTATCTCTCCTCCCCCTTTTTCTTAAATCTTCAGAAACTGTATGAGCTGAATAACCTTCATGCACTTATGGCAGTGGTTTCTGGCTTACAGAGTGCCCCAATCTTCAGGTTGACTAAAACATGGGCGGTAAGTCATCTTCCTAGTTAATGAAAGGGTTAGACTTCCTGTTGGAAGTAAAGATGTATTTATTTCTTTTGTAGTTCTTAGTAAGGTTAATATTATAATAGATAAGGACCTTTAGTTTATACTCTGTTTTTTTGAAACCTGCTTTTTCCTCTCTCAAGTGTTACCCTAGACTTGTCAGGTAATTTGGGGGTAAATTATAGCTTGGTACTTGGGTTTTGCCATTTAGTAAATCATTTTTGTAGAATCTGTAAGCATCTTTGACATCATAGCATTTCATGTTTACTGATGGGGAAGTGTAATTTTTATTTTTGCATTTAATGCAGTTTTTTTTGCATTTAATCTTGTAAAGATTAAGCTTTTGGAAAGTTCAAGGAGACCATCTAAATTGCAACTTTCAAAGAATATTTAGTTACTTAGATTTTCATTATCTTTTAGTCAGTAAACTTAGATTTTTTTTCCCCCCCTCAGGAATAATGAAAAATTGGGTAGTTAACATGGGATTATGCATTGTTGCTGCACATTCTGATATATGTCAATTGTATTTGGTTCTGTCACTTTGACAAGGTCAGTCAGGGTGTGAATTTTGACTTCTGCAAATCTATATGTACTTCCATATTTGAGTGACATGGTACTGGCCTCAAGCTTTCTAGGTATTTTTCATTTAGATTTTATATAAGAAAAATTTTATATCCAATTAAATCTGTTCTTATTTAATAGTATTCTTTGGTGTTAAGGAGGAATGATTTTGTTTATTACATTTTATACAAAGGATTACTATATTCCTGGGGTCCTGTGATAAAGAGATGACTTTTAAAAGCTTCTTTTTTTTCTAGCTAAAGTATAACTGTTTTTAATTAGCCTAGTATTGTTTTACTTTTCATAGTATCGCTTTTACTTTTCATAGTATCTGAAGAGACAGATGTTTCTCATGAAAACCAGGGTGATTTTCTGTATTAGAAGAAAGACATTAATACGGAAGAGCTTATGATCCTCTTTATATTTTATTTGCATTTTAGAAGCACCTGGGTGAAGGGTTTTCTTACTTTAAAAAAATTCCTTTTAATAAGATGGCCTTTCTCTCTTTTCTTAAAATTTGAATTTCACTGGTGAATGGAAATGATTATAAATATACAGTAATGAATTCCATCTTTGAAGTTTTAGGGAAAAGAATTATACTCTGATTTATATTGTGGTTTAGAAATGAGATACATTTCCCTCAAGTTAATTTTTATTTTTCTTGAAGATATTTTTGTTGTCTCCCTCATGTATTTGCATGGAAAAGAATATTTAGTAACAGTTTCATTATTAATCTGAATAAAATCTTTAGTGTTTATTAAATACTAAATTATATTAAATTTTAAAACAGTCTATACTGAGCCAGGCACTAATTGCTTGGCATACAGCAGTAAATGATACAAAGTCCCATTCTTATGCAGCTAACGTTCTACTGGGAAAAGATAAGCTGTAAATAAATAAATGATATATCATAAATGGTGATGAATGCTCTGAAGAAAAATAAAGCAGATTAAATGGGATAGAAGAGAAAACGGAAGTATTTTATATAGTACAATCAACCCTTGAACAACACAGGGATTTGGGATGCCAACCCCCCTGCACAGTCAAAAATCCACATAAAACTTGACTCCCTCCAGACTTAACTACTAATAGCCAACTGTTGACTTGGAAGTCTTACCAATAACATAAAGTCGATTAACACATGTTTTGTATGTTATGTATATCATATACTGTATTCTTACAATAAAGTAAGATAAAGAAAATGTTACTAAGAAGATCATAAGGAAGAGACTATGCGTTTACAATACTGCGCTGTAAAAACTTCACGTGTAAGTGGACCCACATAGTTCAAACCCATATTGTTAACTGTATATGGTAAGAGAATCTCTGCTAAGTGACAGTTGGGTAGAGAGCTGGAAGAACTGAGAGAAACATTTGTGTGGAAATCCGGGAGAAGAGAATTTTAAGCAGAGGTGATAGCCAGTACAAAGGCCCTGATAACCTTCAAAGAATAGCAGGGTGGTCGGTATTGACACAGTGGAATAAGCTATGGAGTAGTTGATGGTAGGAGATGAGTCCAGAGAGGTCACATCAAATCAGATAAGGGAGATGCTATTTACTGATATTCTGGGGATACTATAGGGAAGGAGTGTGTTGGTGGTGGGGCAGAGAGGTTCTCTTTTACACATACCAAGTTTGAGTTGGCTGATAAATACCCGTGTGCAACTGTAAGGTCAGAGTTAGGTGTGTAAGTTTAAGGGAGGAGTTGGAGCTAGAGATGTATTTTTTTTTTTATCATCAGCATAAACATAGTATTTAAAACATGAGATTGGATAGGATCACCTGAGTCGTAAGTACAGATGAAGAGTCCTGGAAGCCTCCAAGATTTAGAGATTGGAAAAATGAGGAATCAACAAAGGAAATATCACAGTGGGAGTTTTCCACAGTCAGGTAATGAAAGTGTTTCAAGAAAGAGGGATCACCTGTGTCAGATGCTGCTAATAAATTGAATTACGTGAGAACTTTGAGAGGGCCATTGGCTATGGCAGTTGGAGAGGATTGGCAGCCTTGCCAAGAGTGGTTTCAGTATAGTGGTGGAGTGAAAACTGATTGGATTTGAGGGAATGTGGAGAAAAAAAATGGGACAGCAAGTATAGAGAATGCATTTGAGGAATTTTGTTGTAAAGGGCGGGGTTGAGGTGCTGTAGATAAATCTGGCAGCTAGAGGGGACTGTAAGACAAAAGATTTGTGGCATTTTGTTTTGTTTTTGGAAATGAGAGCCATGACAGTATGTTTGTATGCTGGTGCAGTGACCTAATAGAAAAATGGTAGAGCAAGAAGTTACTCTAGCAGTACCCTTGACCAGACAGGAGGGATTTGATCCAGTACTAAAATGGAGCAGGAACAGTTTATCCATGTTAACAGTAGAGAAGGGGATGCATTTGGTTATAGACGCAGGTAAGTTGGTAGATGGGGTGATGAGATTCTGTAGAAATTCTTCTGATGTTTGTTTCTTCAGACATGTAAAGCAGAGTCATTATTTGAGAGTGATGGGGGAGAGGTGTTAGAGGTTTGAAGAAGAACAGATGAAAGTCATCTTAGAAGAGTGTGAGAATGAATTAACTAGGGAAATAGGGTAGGTTTGGTATGGTAGGCCTTATGATTGAGATTTTTGGTCATGAATTTAAGGTGAAACCAGTCAGCGAAGTCATGTATTCTCTAACCAGGTGCAGGTGCTCAGCATAAGCCTGGAGTAATGATGAGAATTGTATTTAATCAGTGGTGGAATTTTTTAAGGCTTGTTTGTACCATAGAGGGGTCAGGGATAGCACAAGAGATAAAGTGGGTAAATGTACAAGTTGTTTTAGTGATAGGTAAGGAATTTAACCCAAGTGAAAGAGAGAGAGAGAGAAGGAAGAGTGAAAAAGTAGTATTGGTAACTGGATTGGAAATTCTGGTGCAGTCAGTACCTACTGGATTCAGGATAACCAAGGGAGTAGAGGCTGAGAGTAGTAAAAGGTAAGATCATTGAATGGAAGAGAAGTCAAGGAACTGAGATACCAGGGTAGTAAGAGTATCATCTATGTGAAGATAACAGTCACCAAGATATGAAAATAATGTTGGTTTTTGGACTCTTTCTCCAACTACCAACACCTTTAAGATATAATGGGAAAAATGACTAGTAGCTCTACTAATGACAGAAACATAAGTGTTATGATCTAGTGTTCTCTTGTCCAGTATGGTAGCCACTAACCACATGTGGGTATTAAATTTAAGTCATTCTAATTAAATTTAAAATTTAGTTCCTCATTCATACTAGCCATGTTGCCAGTACTCAGTAGTCATGTGTGGCTAGTGGTCATTGTGTTGGGCAGCACAGACATAGATCATTTTCATCACACAGAATTCGATCAGACAGCATTGATCTAGTGCTTGAACTTAGTAGAAGCTGGAGGATGGTAGAGAGGAAAGAATTGTGAAGAGCAAGGAGCCAGGATTGCCCCCAACTCAAATCTAGGCTCATGTTACAAAAAAAGAAAGAGAAGGCTTAAAGAAAAGGTTAAGGATGGGGCTTATGCAGAGGATGGGTCATGAGACCCAGAAGGTACAGTTGGAAAGGTGTAAACGGTCTAAACATCCATCAGCAGATGAATGGATATACAAAATGTATACACATAGAGTAGAATGTTATTTAGCATTAAAAAGGAATGAAATTCTGACGTTACACCATGGATGAATCTTGAAGACGTTATACTAGGTGAAATTAGCCAGACATAAAAGGACAGATACTGTATGTTTCTGTTTATATGAGGTACCAAGAGTAGTCAGATTCATAGAGACAGAAAATAGAAGATGGTTGCTAGGGGCCAAAAGGAGGGGGGAATAGGACTTATTGTACAGTGGGTGTGGAGTTTCAGTTTGGGAAGATGAAAAGAGTTCTATCCATGCATGGTTGGTGGTGATGGTTGTTTGAATAACGTGAATGTACTTAATTCCACTAAAGTGTACACTTGAAAGTGGTTAAAATGGTGAATGTTGTGTATACTTTACCACAATTTAAAAAAAACAGGGTTTATTAAGGTGACTGAATATACAAACGATACACAAAATCAATTGTATTTGAAGCAATTTGAAAATATCACTTGAAAGGACACTACTTAAGATATCAAAAGAACTATAATAGCAAATAATAAATGGAATAATATAAGCAAGACTTTTTTTTTCCCGCCTAAGTAGTGGTCTCAGAATACTTTAATTTGCCTTTGGTTTAAACCTGACCAAGTATAGTCCATGAAACATTGCCCATCCCCAGAGTGAGTGGTCCAGAGTAGGACCATGATAGGTGATTTAGCTGATTAGCTTCTTCCTTACAGGTGTTTTGTTTTGTTTTTTCCAAGGCTGAGGGCTGGGTTCTCTTTTTCTTTGCCATGTATTTGTAATACCAACCCTTAAATATATGCAAGACTTACATGCAGAGAACTAT